CTGAGGATGAATACGACAACTCTCACGTAAGGGGCGATCCTAAAAGGAAGAAAATCAAAAGCCAGCGGAGACAGAAAGAGAAAGTCCATCACCACATCAGCAAACAAAACTACCACGCAAGCAACCTGGAATCAAGAAGAATGACAAATTATTGAATGGAACAATGGAGAATCAATTTCTTACCTTTCTATCCAAATTTGTAGCAAAAGGAAGTATATAACTGCAAAGGGAAAATACCTTCACTAGATTCAGGCGACTTGTCCAAAAGATTCGGGACCCTTCATAGGATATCGGAAAGAAAGTATGTACAAGGAGTATAGCCAGGGTAATCACCTATTTAAACAGTGCAAAATTTTCTAATATCAGCAGAATGAGAAAGGATCTTGGCCAGTCCTTACAACAAACATATCCAAAAGATAAGACGCTTATGTTCATATCAAATTCTTAACAACTAACTAAACGAGGTAAACTAATCTTGAGCAATTATTCAACGCATCTCAAGGATTTAAATTAAATAAACATAAGGAAATTTAAGTTATTTCACTATCAAGTGGTTGCATTTGTATCTCGTGTGCCTATTTGCACTAAATCCATGCATCTATAGCGAAAATAAAAGGCCAAAAAACCACTTAAGTTCACTACTTGCCTCATAGATAATAGATTCTGCATTGGTCAAGTACGGTAACTCCCCCAAGTAATAGTAATCTCTGTCTTTGCAAGACGGTGTAGGCTTATTTTCACACCACAGTGGTTGCTGCAAAAGACAGACAAGCAAAAGTGTTGATAATTTTTCCAGTTTTGATTTTCGCAAAGGTTGGTGTATATTAAAGAGACAAACGCTTAATAATAAGTCCTGACCTCAAAGAAGTTAAGCAAAATCAGAGCGAAATAGTTGAGTGACCAGAGGAGACCGAATCGTGTGAATATGAAGTAGTACTTTGCAGACTCTCCAAAGCTCGACTGATCAAGTATTTGCTCAGGAAGACCAATACCATCTTCAGCCTACAAACCACATAAAAAAAATCAGATTCAATCCACAAACCACATAAAAGGTTCCCCAAATCAGCAAAAAAGACAAAGAAACATCTCTCTCCCCAAATAAGACGCTTCAGATATAGAAACGTCGGATATTTAAATTCCAATAGAAGGATGCTATGCTAATTTCGTAAGCAATACACACACAGAATTTTGTGACCGATTCTACATATACGAAGAGACTGATTATTCGTTATAAACGATTTGAGTACTCAGCTTAACGAATACACTGACTTCAGAATCTCTCTTGGAGTCGGAAGAAACAGGCGTCGTGAACCATATATAGAATTTTTTTAAATAAAAAAAAATCAGAAGAAGAAGAAGAAGAGAAAAAGAAGAGAACCAGATCGACGAGAGCAGCAGCTTTCTGAAACGTAGTACCGTGCGTGATAGCTTCTGATCGACGGAAGATCCGATCCGTACCACCACGACGACTCTCTCTACCAATCAAAGGATCTTCCATTTTTGGTTTCTCTCTCCGGCGAAACCAAACAAAATCTGGATCGAATCAAAGCAAAGGCCAACGATCTAGTAGCTTATTTAATTCAATGATAATGATAGAAACAGAAGAGACGGAGAAGATGAAGATGGCCCAGATGAATTTAATACATTTGTTGTCAATTTTTCCCGTTAGATCAGTCGCAAGGTTTGTCAAAATGATAAATCTTGCAGACAAACACGTTCGGTCCTCGACGATTTCTTAACACGTGGCTTTAAATGTTCTTAACCTTTCTCAATTTGTAATTTTTCTGTTTTTTTTTTCTCTACAAGGAGCAAAGAAGATCAAGGAGTAGAATAGTCAAAACCGACAGAGTGGTGATGTGGTCCACTCACTATATAAAACATTCACTAAATTAATGCAAAAAAGCAGTTACGAATAACGAATAAAAAAAACCAGCAAAATAACAAACAGAAACAGTCTAGTGGATATGGATAAGCAATTAAAGCATCTGAAATGTCTTTTTTCAGACAAACGAAGAAGAAGAGGTGGTGTGAAATATGTATGAAGCTCTGCAAAATGACATTAAGAAAGCAATGATTTACTCAACTAAATTGCTCTAAAGCTCTACAATGAGAGAAAGAGAACAAATTACACAAAAGCCTACTACACAAATGCTGTACTTTTCAGACAAAAACCATACAAGAATCAGAGTTCCCTTTCCACACACTCTAATAAATTACCGACAATATATATATCCCCACTAATTGATCTAACCGAATAACCCAAACTTCAATTTCCTCCTCATCCAGGCTCTCCAAAAACCTGATATAAGAAACAGCATGAATCATGGGTATTTTGAGTTTTTCTTTAGACAAGAGACTAAACTTTATATTTCGATGTCGCAAAGGGAAAGCTAACCTCCAACTGATTCCATCGCCGCAAACCAACAAAACTTTAAACTACCATTTACTTTCAGACCTGCACAATTAAGAAAAAAAAGCTTGCATTTGTGTTGGAATTTAGGATTCAAGCAAACATAACATAAGATGTTTGAGAAAAAGGAACTTTACCATTTTTTAACTTTTTAGACATCGCCTTTTGATTTCTTCCCAGTGACAATCTGCATGATGCGAAGTCCTCTGCTAAAAGCTTCATTGAATAAGATCCTCGTTTGCATTGATTGAAACCCAGGCATCCACGACAAGAAAGCTACAGGAACCATGATGAGTATCCCGAACAATATGTCGTATAATCGAGCAACAGAGACAACAGCGTCCCAGATAAGCCTGAATCTCTTCAGAGAAGACCTTGAAGCCTGTGCGATCAGCAGGATCCCCCAACCGGTTGGGATGAATGCAAGAAGACTCGTGAAGATATCTACGAAGCTGAAATTCGTGAACTCGAGCAGAGCACCAACCACCATTATAACAGACACGATCAGGAGGAATTGGATAAGCCTGTAACGTATGTGTTTTTTTGCAGAGTAGGTGTCACGGGCGTATTGGATTAATAGGAAAACCACAAACACTGCAAAGATGTATATCCATGAGAACACGTAGACAAAACGCTGGTGGATCCGTTTGCGATCTTGAGCTGGTATACAATCCCGTACTGGAAGAAGAAAAACCTAAGGTCCAAGATAAACTCCACAATATATCCTGGCCACCCAGTGTTTCTCAGGTGGTCTTGTTCTTCGTACCACCATTTTTCCCAGCTTTGTTCGGATTTCGTTGAGATTCTTCCTTGATACCATATCCAGTTCATGAAATCTTCAAAGTCATAGACTGTCTTAAGCCAGTCGAATCCTGATGGGTTGAACACAAAAGGGGCCATTATCCATGAAATCACTAGGAACCAGCTGGTGATAGTCATGGCTATGTAGATCAACGAGTTTTTAGCAATCGGACTGTGCGAAGCATAGACTATGAGGATCAGCCCAAGCTCGATGGCCTTCACAAAGTGACTGCGTGCATATAGTCGGTAGTTCTCAGTGAATCCCTTGTGCTCGACAACAAATCCACGCCCCGTGGCTCTGTACTTTGCTCCACCATGGAGAATGGTTCGGCCAAAATAGTGAGCTCTGGTCCCCATTGAGAATGTGTAAAAGACGGACGAAAGCTGAATCTGCATTCGAATGAAATTCCATATCGCCAGAAGGAAACCCTCCTCGAGAGACCATTCAACAATCATTGGCAGGGCTGTGAACAGACCAAGCTGAATGATGAACTGCTGGTTCAAGATCACTCCAAGCGCTGCGTTGCTGTCCGTACTGTCTGCTAGAGCAGACTTCTCAACCCCGCTCAGAGCCAGATAAAGTCGGCCCCAGAGGAAAGCGTAAACAGTAAGAATGACCATCATCGTGTTGAAGAAAAACCCGACCGTTGTGTAGAAAAATGATAACATTCTGAAGAAATCGAGCCTATGGCCAAGCCGGTACACGTCTCGGCTAAGAACCTGCTCTCCGTTCCCACTGGCTACCTTAGCCTCAAACATCGATATCTGATTTAATCCAACATCGCGACCCTTCCCAACCTGAATATAAGCACAAAGACAAGAATTATGTAAAATTTCACTGAATCTCGGAAGTAAGAAACGTTAAGTTGCATGGTAATAAAGCAAGTAGAATTAGAGGATCGTTGTAGCAGTATAAATTAGTTAGAAATATCCAAGAAATGAACCTGAATGTACTCGTGGTGGGTGACGTTTCCTCCCCGCAATGTGCAATTAAACCCGGCGAAGATGTCCTCACTGATATTTATGACTCTGGAAGCCTTGCTGATGCCACCTCGACTCAAGAACCAGAATCTGTCAAATACATCAGGGTGTCCATAATGCATTCTGACCTTCAACGGGTTTGCAAGAACACGCTGACCAAGAGTGACAAAACTTGTCTCCTGAGCAGACATGAACCAGGCCAGCGACGAGACAGAGCCCGTAAAGATATGCTCCCGCACACCAAGAATTGTTGGTTTTCTGATCCCGTGAAAATGTCTAAACTCCTGGAGTAAATTTCTTATCTTGAGAGCCTCCTCGAAATAATTATCCTGGTTCATATCTATGGTCTGAACAGCATCACCACGGGTAAAGATCATAGCATGATTCTGGTTCTCCGGCTTTCCCTCGCCCAGCTTCACCGGACCAGGTAGCTTCACACGGAATATCTCCACTTCCTTCTCCAACCGGTGATCGTATTTTACCAAAACGGAGTAATACTCTGTCTCTCCCCTGCCCGCAGGCACTTCATCCACATAAGCAATACGGAGAGCTTCGTTCTGCTTCATCAGATACAAAATTTCCTCTGCCTGAGGCTCCTTCTTTGCTTTTTGAGACCCATAGATCTGGCACGCCACAACATATGTAAACTTCATTAAGGCCGTGCCATACTCATGGCCTTTATAAAGTTGACTCACAGAACTACTTGCTCTGCTTAGGGAAGATCGGTCATTTTCATAGTCAACCCCATCCATTCGACCACCCAGATCTCCCTGCATACTCCTCACTGAACCAAGCTCCTGAGCATCCTCCCGAATGTCCATTTCAGACGCAGAGTCAAGAAAAGCGAGCATCTTAAGAGCCCGGTAGTAGTACATCATTCCCCGAACTGTACGTGCCAAAGTCTGACCTCTGTAAGAAGCCCAAAGCCTGAGGTCTCTAAGCTTGGTTGTCCACAACTCAACATCTGTCTTTATTCCTTCCCTACGCATCCGCTCCTTAAAATTTTTCCATTCGTCAGCATAAATCGTCTGCAGGTAATACAGGGTTGAAATCCCATCCTCAGTCTCATTTCGGAGCTGTTCTTTGCTGTACACAACTTCCTCGCTGTAGTATGGTGTCAGAACACTGAACGCCATCATTTTCTCAACCTGAGGTGCATGAGGCATGTTCATGAAGAGCGAATTGCTGAAGAAAGCAATCCGTCGTCTCGCCTCTAGATTCACAGGGACGCTGTGCATAGAGTCCCTAGAAGTGAGAATCGTGTGTAACCGCCTAATCTGCCGATAGAAGTCTTCATTGCTTGCATCAGGAAGCCTAACAGCATTCTGAAACAGTAACTTTGAGGCTGGATCACGAGGAGTCAACCCCTCAACAGATAGCTCTTCAGTTGACTTCTTTTTTATAAAGAACTGTCGTGTCGCAATCTCATAAAGAGATTGCAGAACATTCACCACACGCGCAATATCCGCTTTCTCATCATTCAACAGCCCAACCAACTTTTGCAGTGTTTCGTAAATCTTTGGCAGAAGGTCCACTTTGAAGGTCTTGGTGAACTGCTCTGATTGAATAGAAAGATTAATCATTTGAAAGAAAACCGTAAGTATGGCATGTTCTTCAGTGTCAATTTTGATGATTGAGAGCAATAGATGTTTGATGCTGTCATATGCCTCAACTACAGCACAACGCCTGTACTCATTCTTGCATATCTTGTGCCAAAGCCATTTATCAGGAGCGTCAACCAGCTCTTTTGCCTGGCTCAGTGCAAGCAAAAGCTCATTGCACAACAGGAAACACGGCCAGCGAATAACCGTCACATTCCAGGAATTCTTTGGCAGCTCCAGTAGCTCCACTTCTCGATCAGAAACTATATCCTCTTCTCTGAAAGCTAAGATTATTTCATTCCAGATCAACGCAAACTTGTTGGCCTCAACCTGATTAGACTCGAGTTTCTTAAACGGCCGCCCAAATCCATACCTTAGCTTCAATCTGCATACAGTATACGAACTCACGGTTATGACAATGTTAAGAGTTAAACTCAGCAAATCCGCTTTAATAAAACTAAAATTCCATAGCTTGTACCGTCAAGAGAAGCTTTGTACAGTAGCTATATAGAAAATATCAGTAATATGCTTCTACAGACTGACCTATGAATGCCGTCCTTAAGCTTGTTACCAAAGCCTCTAGCATTCAGGAGTTGTTCCTCGGGCATTAGATTGAACTGAATAGCGCTAGCAAAGAATTGAAACCTCAGCCTAAGCTGTCCCATGTCCCTGATCTCCCCCAGATGATCAAACAGCCCAACAACAGCACCAACAATTGAAGAATAGATTGCGTACCAAATTTGGATATCCATCAGGTATATCAACACAACTGGCAACCATAATAATGCGACAGAAAATCTATTGCTGCCGCCAAAAAACTGGTGCCACTCATATTGTACCCCCTTTAAATCCCATAGCAGCTTTGAGGGTTTAATCATTGGCTTAACCTGCAGGAAGTAGCTAAATGTGAACTTTGTTCCTAGGACAAAGATCCAGAAAGTCGAGTACTTGATGTTGTCCACTAAACCCTCTCTCAAACCTCGACCCACAAAGCTTTTGCCCTGAAACCACCAAGTTAGAGCAAAGAATATCTTCCAATTGGTCTCTTCCAGAAAGTTTCTTATCCATGGGAGTACAAACAGAGCCAAAGCCAGAATTTCAGGCACCAAGAAGGCCACCACAGCGTAAAGGAATTGATAGATCTTGGCCGTTGCGGCATTAGACCACCGCCTGTCTTGCCTCTTCTGTTTCCAGATGTTCGTGTAGAGGACTGTGAAAGCTACGATCCACACAGCAGCAGCTACAACCTTCATCAGCATTCTGAAGAAATGTCTTTTGGTCTCTCTGGAAATGAGGGGCCGTTGTGAAGCAGCGTCCAGACCAGCCTGCAGGAGTCGCATCCCACTCCAGGTCAAGAAGACTGTCAGAAGTCTCACTTGGACATCTCTGGACTTCAACGCGTTCCAGAGCTGCACCGTCACCTTCTCATCGTCCGGCTTTTCCTCCCAAGCTACTATAATGGCGGCTTGAAGGAACAAAGCAAGCATGACCCACAGCCGATCAAAGCTACGGTAGAGGTAGAAGAACGTCCTGCGCTCCACGAAACCGGTTTTCCCGACGCTTTTACCTCTACTACTCTTGAAAAAATTGCTTCCCAGATCAAGCGGCCATTTCAATTTGCTGAAGCATCTATCCGTCCAGAAGTATTCGTTGATATCGTCGTAGTTCCTCCACTTGCAATGCGGCTCTGTCCCGTTCTTGCTCGCTTCAATCTCAGCTTGGATTGTGTCGTAAATGGGTTTTACGACGCCGTTTAGGAAAGCGTTTTCGCCTGAAAGAGAAGGCAGATAGGGTTGACCGGTGTTCTCATCGAGGCAATCCTCTAGGATTTTGTTGAGCTCCGAGGCCATGTTATGGAAGATGTAACATATGCATTCAGGCATGAAACGAAGATTCGCCGCTTCGCCCCATATGAGGAGATAGAGCCCAACATAGAGAAGCTCCCGTCTCGAATCAGGGTTCCGATCTGAGATCCAGATGTTTGATTTTTTACCCAAATACGAGCACCAGCTGGAGTAGTTACCTAGGAGCTTCCGCCGAAACCGACGGACAACGGCGGAATCGAGAGAGTCGATGTTATCCGGCGGTGGCGTGAGACGCATCTGAGCATTCGCGAGATGAAGCACCATATGCTCGCGCTGGTTACGAACGTTATCTTTCTGGAAACCAAAGAACAAGGCGAGCCAGTCGAGGAGATCGTAGTGAGGTCGCCATTGAACGTAGGGCGGACGGCGAAGGTCTCCGACGGTTTTAAGAGCGGCGGCGGCGGCACGAACCTCGGGAAAACGGAGAGAAGGATGGTCGGCTAAGAGATTGTTAACGGGAATGATATTATAGGGCTCCTCTTCGATTCCGGCAGCTTCCGCCGCCAACGGCCGCCCAGTTTGAGGCGGGGCGTTGCGGTGGCGGAGGCTCATAGTGGCATGTGGTAGATCTCGGAGATTTCTCGGAGAATAAGCTTGACTGACTCAAACAATGGAGAATCAAATCGGCGCGATATTTCTTTTTAGCTCAAGACGGCTACAATGACAACGACGAACGAGACGATTTGGCCTCCTTTCCGCGTTTCAGTTTCTTCTTCGTTTTTTCTTTCTTTGCTTTAATTTGTATATTTTTTTAATATAATTTCAAATTTGTTAAAATTCCTTTTACTTAACACCTTTTACCTTATTATATGAATCATCATTACCTCAAAAATAAATTTAATGATAAAATAAAGTTCGTTATGGCATTTGATTGGGGGATTTTTTATTTATGTTTACGGTTATTAATAAGTTTGTGCATAATAACACTTGAATAGGTAAGAAATCTTCCAGATTTTTATCCAATTTGGTCAGAAATTACTTTGTGTGCTTTTTTCTTGTTGTTAACTTTCGTTTTTGTTGTAATAAATACTTCTATACTTTTTACAAAAAAATTATAATAATAATAATTCAATACTTTAATTCGTAAATGTTGATTTTGGAGAATGCTTAGGAAAGTCTTGTATCTTCAACCTCTCTCGTTTCCTTACCATTTAAGTTAAAAGAAAGGAAAGTCAGCATAAAGAAAAAAAAAATTGATGTATTGAAAATCTTAAATAATTTTTAATGTATATTGGATCTGAATATCTGACCACTGACCTTGTAGAGAAATTTTTTTTGTGCGTTATAACTCAGTGCTTTACAGATTGGAATGTTTAATAATAGAAAAATGCTAAATTTGTTGATCGTTAGACGTTAAAATTGTCGTTTATAATTTAACTTCATAAATAACAAAACATATATATATATATATATATATATTAACCAATTCTAAATTTTACGGTTATGGTAAAAATGATGTAAATAATCATTATATATCTTCTGCTATTCCACATTTTCTTCTTTTTTTTTCTTTTTTTGGTACAAGAATGCTAAGGAATCCTTTGTTGTGTTGTAACTTGTAACACTCTATTTAAATTTGGTCTTAACTTGTAACGGTCGTAGCTTTATTAATTAATGAGCATCGTTTTGTCGTATCTCCGATACAATGTCTTTAAGTATCAACTGTCTTTTTTTTGTCACAAATATGCAGCCGCGGAATTATCTTTCAAAAACTTGTAATTTTTTTAAACATTTGTGATTAATCAAGACATGTAATACTAATAGTCTAATACTGTAACGATCGCGTAATCACCCGGTCAGTCCACAATCTACACAAAAGGAAAAGCCGCCCATTTCTAATTAGTAATTACACAGCTAATATATTCATGGAATCGGTACTGTCTCTTTCTAGTCCAACTCTAAAATTAAAAACACTACAATTATATTCTTTATTGACTTGTTTTTTAAGGGGGTTTGACTAACCTTTAGGATAATACCCAAAAAACAATCCACGGAAATCTCATATGTCATATTCATATTATAAATTTGGGTCAAGCAGTATTGTTATTAAATTATTTTTGTGTCAAAATTGTTGATTAACTTATTTAGCCAATGCAAGTGGGGTTTAAAATCCTAAAGAAAAAAAAAAAAAAAAAACAATACAAGTGTATTGAAACTTGAAAGAAGAAAAACAAAAACAAGTGGAACGTTTTATTTCAAAAACAGGAAAAGTCGCTGAGCGGACGAGTGTGGCCGCTTTGGACGCTAATTTAATTCGAACACACATGGGACCCCATCCTTCTTCTTCAGACTCTCTCCTTCCCATTTCCCTCTCCTTTTAGTAACTTTCTTTTAGGGGGTATAATATTATGATTTATACCAAAGTTAAACATTTTACATACTACATTAGTACTATTTGTTAAGGAACTCACCCTTGGACCATCTCCAATAGAAAGACTCCTTAAGCATCTCTTAAAATTAATTTAATAATAAATTTATAATAGAGAGACGCTACGTCGTCGTCTAAGAAACGACCCTAAAAACTCTTAAACAAAGAGCATCCCTTGTTAAAGTCCATTTATTTTTTTATTTTTAAATCTCTCTTTACCTATGAAACCGGGCCAAAAATTTCCAATGGAGATGGTTTTAGAAGCACCTTTACAAAGGACTATTATTCAAGTTTGCATAGTTTGTGATTGAATGAGAAGATTTATGATCGCCGATAGGAAAGATGGTGGATAAGAAAGACTATGTCATTGTCTAATTAACAAAGAGGACAGAATTGAGGGACATTCATTCCCATATGAGCCATTTGTATCATGTTGATAACCTTTGTAGAATTGCCAACCACAAGAGGAAAGATGCACGTGGAATGGATTTCTTTAACCAGATTGTATTCATCCTAGATATTGTTCAAGAGATGAGTCATAGGTATTTCTAAGTACCTTTAGATGAATAGTTTTTGAGAACGTATCTGAAGGAGATGCCTAAGAAACACATCATGACGTCTAGACGGCTCAGGAGCAGAGATTATAATGAGATGTTCAACACCTTCTGAATTTTCTATGTTCTTGCACTAAGAAAAAACCAGTTTCTATTTATGACCATTTCATAAAAGGGTCCTTTCATAAACTCTTGCATCATGTCGATTCTAAGCAATATATGTCCTTTATCGCCCACAAACTCCAATAACGGTCTATATTTACTTCCAAAATTATATGAGAAAGAGACCAAAAGTTTTAATTCTGACCTCACATTTTATTAAGCGGTCTAGAATAGGTTTGAGCTGCAACATACTTCTAATAGTTTGAGAGAACCGGTTTGAGTCTTTTATAAACTATAAACTTTCCTGTTAAATTTTATTTTTCTTTTCTAATAATTTTCTTTCCATTTTATAATATTTTTCATGAAAAGGTTTAATGTTAGTTAATAATGTCGCTAAGCAAATATCAGCTCAAATTGTCGCACTCATAAAAGATTTACACCTACTGAAAATAAAATGCGGTGTCGAAAAGATAATCAAACCGTTATATTATATGGTATACTCCGTTACTACTGTTGCTTTACTGTTTCTAAACTCTACATTCATTTCTTAACGATCCTTTTTAATAAGAAACAAATATTCACACCGTTCAAATGCATAATCAACTCAATAAAATTTACTAAGTTTTAATTGTGGCTCCAAAACAATATATTTCAAGTTTATTTATTTATCTTGGATCCTGACAAGTCAAAGGACCAAGCAAGTGAATCTACTCATCCACTAATTAACACAAAAGAACTTTAAATTTAAATTTATTAGTATGCTCTTCCGGGGCTTTAAGCTATTACCTTGTTTTAAAAAGAGGCATGTGGGATTATAATCCGCAAGATGGAATCTTCCTTTTGTTCTGACACAACAAATGGCCGCATGTGCTTCACGGAGCATTAAAGAAAACCATATATCATAAAAGAAAGTGTAGAGCAACATGATCAACGTTGATTTGCAGATTATGGAAATAATTTTCTTTGTTACTATAATTCATTTCAACACAGGCCAGTTTTTGATACTAATATAATTTGGATATACACAAGTAATTAAACGAGATGCCACACATAAGTACAGTATAGCTATATCTACTACATTCGCCGTTCTATGCGTATATTTAGCTAACCCTTTTCATCGTATAAATAAATTCATACATCTGGAATTTAAATTATATCATAAATTTGGTGAAACGTATCGTTAAGAATCGAACCAACTGATGGATGGTAATGGTACAAAGGATATTGATTGGTGAAGAGTTTTGGTTATCAGTTTATCCGTTCATGAGAGTTGGTTCAGTGCTGACAGTTACTTACTAGTTTCCAAATATACAACCCAATTAAAAATAGAAGAAAGTAAATAACAATACTATAAAAAATATCAACACATACGAAAAGAAAAAAAAAACACATTACACAAACTACGTCTTAGATCGATGTATGAGAGACTTTAATGAACTGAAACTGAAAAGAAAAAGAGTTAAATTCAAGATTTCTGGAGAAGAAAAGGATCAACGACAGAGTGGAGAGAGTATAAGAGTAAGAAGACGTAGAGGACGAGTGCGACGAAACCGGCGATTAGAGCTCCGGTGATCTGATCGCAAAACTTTGGAACTTGGCCGCAAATCGGAAGCCAACCTGCGTTTGCGTTTCCTTTCTTTCCCACTTGCGCCACCGCTAATGCCGCCGATAAACTTGACGTCAGCAGCATTGTCATCACCTTCATCACCGGTTATATATTGACTAAAATTAGTATAAAAATAAAAAAATGCTTTATATTTTGAGCTAATCTTCACCTAACAAAACGATAACAAATTCAAGTATTTTGAAATTGCTACCTAACGATTCATCTATTAGTACTCTAAACACAAACCAACATCAAATTATATTCTAATGGAATAAGTTAACGTAGAAAATTGATCTACAATAGGACCATGAATTTTAATTTGGAATGTGACATAAGGTCGACTGCTTTAACTGCACTCAATACGTGTTAAAAGTGCAATAATCTGCTGTTAACACTTCATCGCATTGACATTCTCTAACCAAAAAAAAAAATTTGAGTGTTTTACTTCTAAAACCGAAATTTGTGAACTTCGCGTATATAAGTTTTAAATCAGTCTTATCTCAAAATGAAATAATCAATCAATTAAATCGTCACGTACGACAACATTACGCTGGAAATAAAAGCCAGGTTTATGTTTAAAATATATATGTAAAAGTCAGATGGACATTATTTAACCACAAATTGAACTAGTTGTATAATCAGTATATATGGGTAACATTATTAATGAAGTATTATATCATAACCAGCTTCAATTTATGAATTATGAGTAACATCATGTTACTGGATCAAAGCTTAATATAACCAGAAAACCACTATTTAAAATCTGCACAATAAAAGGTGAAATTTTCCCCACAGAAATACTAATTCATCAAAATTCTGTTGCAGATAAATATTAATTGTTGTAGAAATGCGATAAATTTTCAATATTTTAGTTATGAAAATCAGTTGTTAAATCTTAGCAAAAAAAAAAACCAGTTGTTAATTCCACAAATAAAGTATATATTAATAACATATCGCTTTTTTAAAAAAGTTATGACAAACAAATATCAGTTATTACCAAATCCAAGACGACCACGAACTTCCACAGCAAACTCTCCTTTGGAAGAAACAGAACCAGAAAGCTATAGACACTCACGACAGCGTTTGCGATCACAAAATACCTACAAAACATGCATGTTTTATCAGTTATCACATACTCAAATAGTCACATAGCTTATATAAGATGAAATCATTTACATTTATATATGTAACGTAAATTAAGAAAGAAAGATTTGTACATACTTAAACGCGGCCATATCGGTGTACTTGGCTTCAAGAGAGACGGCAAAGAATGAAGCTCGCTCGCGGCTAGTGACCATAACGATCAAAGCGGCGAGAGCCGCCCCAAATGCCGCTAATCGCAGCACGAGCCCTCCTATTCTCTTTGTCAACTTCACCATCGATCGATCAATCACAATCTAGTTTAAGAAAAAAAAAATAGAGAAAAATGTAAGAACACAAATAACATTTACGCATGGAGAGAGGAACACAAACATATGAGCTCATGAAATATATTAATTGAGTGGGATGTGTTGTTAGTTGAGATTTTTCAACTATATTCACCGTCATCGTTCGATTTTCAACACACGACTTATATATCTTTCTCTTTGCTCTCTTTATGACACGCAAAGCCGTAAAACAAATTTATAAATTATTTAGTACTTTTATAGAATGATGATCTGACGTGGGAGTCCTAGAATTAGTGATTTGGTGTCCAAATATAAAAGTTTATTGATACTAACCATATGCAAAATTAAATTTTAATTTTATATGAAAATTATACTATTTTTAAAGATGATGACATCACAGAATAAACAAATATATTAACCGTTGTCCTAACTTAGATGTATCTTTGATATTTTCGGGTGGGCTCGTATTAAGTTGACATATTCTAATCGAACTAGATTTTAGCCCGTGCATCCGCCCGAAAATTTTGTTTAATCAAAATTTGTAATTTAATTTATGTTTTTTTATAAATATATTTTTTTAATAAATGATATAAAAAAAATTGTGTTTAGATATAATTTTTTCTCAGTATTATTATGACAACTATGATCATAAAAACATAATTTTAACCCGATTATTTAATTAATCAAAAAAGCTGTTATATTTCTAACTCGCTCATTTTATTAATCCGAAAAATACTATAATTATAAAACCATAATTCTAACCCGCCCGTTTATATTACTTTATGATATAAATATTTACTAATTTTGAAATAATTTTCTCCTAATATTTTGCATGCTTTGATAACCTAACTTGCATAAGACTATAATTATATAAAATTTTTTTTTAACTTGTCCCATTAAATTATTATATAATATTAATATTTATCTATTTTCAATATGTGAAATTTTAATCTGATAGAATATGATTAAAAAAATATAATAAGATATTTGTTAATCATATGTGTTATTCTAAAAATTTTATTTAAATTTCAAATGTTAAAGTAAATCTAACCTATATTTAAGGAAGTCTATTTATATATTACCTATATTTAAAGAAATTTTTAGTTATCTAAATTAATATTTAATTTTCAGAATTAATTTTTATATATAAAAAATATTTAAAAAAAAAACTTTAGGATTGTTTGGAAACAAACACTAAAAATGTTTCTGTTTTAATATAATAGATATATTTATATGTAAAGAAAGTTGTTTTACAAAAAAAATGAAAATTTGATTTGACATTGAATGTGAATACTGGTTCCTCCCAACTATCGGTCTAACATTGCTTTTAATGGCAAAAGTCACTGAAAAGCAAAATACTAGAGTTTTGATGTATCACTTTAAAGAGTTTAATCGAAATTAGATAATTGTGTCTTGCAGTGGGTGGCCGGTTTAAAGTGTCTTCATATCCATAAAAGAAAGAAATAGAACATTCCCCTACGTTTAGAATTGGAACCAAATTATAGAAACGTAGCCTCTAAAGTCTAAACTCACACTTTCTGGATTCGTACCATATAGAAGGCTGCGTTTGGCCACCCATAGAGATTTTAAATGGCAAGAAATCAGTGGCAGAGGCAGAAAAATTATTGACATGGGTCACAATAAAAAAATTGTATAAGTTTTGATAGAAAAAAAAGTTACCATTGATAACATCTCAAAAATGTATTTCACATATATTTTGAAATCGTATTCAATATTAGATGGTGGAAATCTTCTTTTCAGAAACTGTTCTATATTACGTTTGGCTCTTGAATGTTTTTTTAGCTTTGTTGGATTTAGATAGATGGTGGAGATTATTATTTTCAGAAACTGTTCCATTATATTTGACATTATGACCTACATATACACCAAAACAAAAATCTATATTTTAAATTGCTTAAAATAAACAGTTAAGCAGCTTAGCCACATCTTAAGGAATTTCTAAAAATAAAAGGAAAGTTTCATGTGAATTACTTGAAACTTTTTTTGCTTATCGATATGCAGCTTTCTTTTTTTTTAAAAAAAAAAAACCACACTAATGTGGAGCTTCCTTCATAAATTATATTAGTTTTAGAATGAATCCACAATTTATAAATTAATATTTTAAAGAAGATCTCTTATTTATAGTGTAATTTTTCCTTCTAAATTATACCACTTTATGATATGGGATAATTTATGATGCAACATTTCATTTTTTTTTTTCACCTGGGTCAGGTGACCCACTCCAAAAGGGCTGCCTCCGCCACTGCAAGAAATCCTGTTTTTTTATAGGCTCCAAGAATTTGATTTGGGATGCTCCCGTTATTAAAAGAAAAAAGGGCTAAATATAATTTAATTATGTGTGCTTTTTACTAAATTTTTGGTTAAACCAAATCTCTACTCACTAGTCTCTTCCAAGATTAAGCTGTCATGACGATTGTGGTTTGTGGATATATATATATACACACACAAAAATCATGAGCCAGAGTATATATATTAAGTATTAATTGTCTGATAATTTTTTTTTTTAAAAGGGTTAATATGTGTTACCTTTAAACATGCTAGGGATTTATTTTGAGTATTTTTTTGTTGTAACGAGTTTGGCTGGTCACGTCTACAACGGCCAAACGATGACCTCGTGTTGTTTTTTTTTTTTGCTAAAATGTAAATATCATATAAATGAAAGCAGATTTACAGACAGCAAATCTAGAGTTTGTTTCTGCATCGGCAAAAAAGAATAAAAAACAAGGTAGAATTAGAGTTGGGAGCAAAACAAGAGTGATCATCTAATCCAGAGGGACATAAGATCAGCAAAGCCTTTCCTATGTCTTTTTGCAGAGATCATGTTTCGGACTTCACGATCAATGAACCTATAAATAGCATCTGGGGGTAAAGAGACATTGTTATGCAGAATGTTGTTTCTCTGTTTCCATAGCTGGAAAACAGTCGCCTGAGCAGCAACCTTTCTAAGGAGTGCAGGGGCACTCGCATTGGATTGTCTAATCCAAGATAGAAGCTCGAACCAAGATTGGAACATGAGGTGGTGAGGCTTAAGTCTCGCAAGAGCCAGTTTCCAGACGACTATACTGAAGTCGCAAGTAAGCAGCAGGTGATCGCGGTTTTCTTCAAGCGTAGAACAGAGACAGCAAGTCAGTGGAACCTGAAGACCCCAAGAGGCAAGACGAACTCTTGTGGGCAATCTATTAAGGTTAGCAACCCACATCGTGAAAGCATTCTTTGGGACCGATCCTTTGAACCAAATCAAATCAGCCCAAACTTTTTTATCCGATCTTGGCCTGAGAACATCCCAGGTGCGTGAGGAGAGTAGAACTCACTTGAAGTGCCATTGGTGGACCATTCGAAATAGTCATCTGGAGCTTCAGGGGTAGGAGGGTCGATTGTGGATAGATGCGCATGCAGCTGCAGGCCCACTTCAGACCTCGGATCCGCTAAAATCCATCCCCGGTCGTTACACGCGTTCATCACTAGAGCGTGCAGAGGGATACGAAGACTTCTGGGACCCCCGTCACCTAAATACTCGATCAATTTCCCAAAGGGGGTCCAACAATCAAACCAGAATCGGATACCTTTACCATTTCCGAGGACCGCTTTGGAGAAAATGCTCGCGAAAGGTCTCAGCTTTATAATTTGCTTCCAAGTCCAAGAGTCACGGTTGGATTCTTTAATCGCCCAAAAGCTTTTGTCTCTCAGGTGAACACGTCTGTTCCATTGGGCCCATAGAGAATCCAAACCCGAGAATAACAACCAGATAAACCTGAGGCAGAGAGCTATGTTCCATACTGAATAACTCCGAAGCCCGAGTCCACCTTCAGATTTTGGAAGACAAACCATTCTCCAAGCAACCTTTGCGCCTTTAACCCTTTCAATATTTCCAGACCAAAGAAACCTGGCACAAAGAGCTTCGATCTTTCTGATACAACCCTTCGGCAGAACAAAAGCTGAAATCTAAAAGTTAACTGCTCCAGAGATAACCGAACCAATCAACTGAACTCTGCCTGCAAATGACAGCGATTTGACAGCCCACATCTTGAACTTCACTGTGATCTTATTAAGCAACGGCTCATACTCGTTTATCTTAAGCTTACGGCTCATCAGAGGTAAACCAAGGTACCTGATAGGGAGTGAACCAACCGGGAAACTGTAGCTGGTGATAGCATTGGATTCCTGATGGTTCAAACCTGCATAAAAAAGCTCCGTTTTGCTCATGTTCATCGCTAACCCAGACCAACTCGCAAAATCAGCCATACATTCAGTAATCCCATGAAGCGAAGAACTACTCCCATCAAAAAACACCATGACGTCGTCGGCGAACATAAGGTGCGATATTTTAAGCTCAGTGGTTCTCGGATGATAGGATATATAACCCGACTCATATCTGGAGAGTAGCAATCTCGATAAAACTTCCATCGCCAGAACAAAAAGGTAGGGAGATAACGGATCTCCTTGCCTTGTGCCCTTAGTGCTTGTGAAAAACCCACTAGTATAACCATTTACGGACACAGTGAACGTGGGAGTCGATATACACTCAGCAATCCAGTTTACAAATTGATCAGGCAAACCAATGGCTTGAAGAACTCCCAAGATGAAGTCCCAACGGACTGAATCGAAAGCTTTCCTGAGGTCGACTTTAAGCATTGCTCTAGGATATATTCTTTTTGCATGGTAGCCCTGATAACACCGTATTTTGACCACTTTTATGGATCGTTTTGAAATACTTTTTCTATGTTTTTAATTGCTTTTAAGTACTTTTATTACGTTTTTCTAGTATTTGTAGTTCCAAGACTCTTTTCAGGAAACTTAGGGAAAAGCTTAACAAAATGGATAGAAAACCAGATTTCAGCTCAGAGTCAAACCATCAGAAGTTCACCCCTGATTGAAGGCCTTCTCACCGTCTGATCCAGCTCAAATTTGGAGACCTTAAAGATGGAAGTATCAGCTTTCCAGTGCAGTTTACAGCTTGGCAATCCAACGGTTCAATCAAAAGATACGCGAAGAGCAAGATGTCCCGTAAACCAGCCGGCAAGCACTTCCACCCGCGGCCAACAAGCAATTTCCCGCGGTTAGGAGCATCCCGACCGCGGCAAACCACTCATTCCCCGCGGTCAGAGCACTCCCGACCGCGGCCATCAACCTCCGAGCCCAAAAAGCCCATTTCTGAAGCCCACATTTGGAGAAACCCTAAGTGACGTCCAGAGAGGTCTTGAGCACTATAAATACATGTCTTAGGAACCCTAAATAGGTGGAACCGAATACCATCTATCATTACTTCATACTTTTAATGTTTTTGCTTTAGCTTTTAGGGAGAGATAGATTTGTTCTCTTGAACCCTTGTTCTTTCTTTTTCAATTTCGGTTTCTATTCTACTTCTTAATATTATGTCTTTAATTTCGTTCATTATGTCTGAGTAGTTTTACTGTTGGGATTAAGGGATTTTCGATGGGGATTTATATGTTCGATGAGGATTCCATGAGCTTTTGAGCAGAATCTTAGAACTTTTTCTTCTGAATTCATTTTTACTGCATGAAGGTAGCGTCATGAACTACAATCTGATCCAGATGCTTGGTGACACGAAAGTGTTCATCAGGTATCAGATCTAGTTTGGGAGAGCAAAACAAACATAGGAGTGGAAACCTACCTATGGGCGATTTGTGAATTAGGACGAGTTTTAAACATAATGCATATCTTCTCTTCCAGGGCCAGAGTGGAAACCTACTGGTCAGGGTTGAGAGAGATAGTTGTCTATGATCACGACAATGGCGTATTCATACGTCCGTGACTCCAGTTCGAAAAGTTTAAGCTAAGATCTTATCAATTTTACTCTCTAGCAAATGTTTTGAATCATTCGTACCCCTGAGAAAACTTCTCTGAACCCCAACGCTTTCTTCTCCATTGATTTACACCGTTTTTATTTCAAGCTTTAGTTCAATATTGTCTTTCCTTTTTAGTAGATTTTCATTTAAGCAATTAAAATATCCGTTTTTCTCATTTTTATTCATTTTCGTTAAGTTTAGTTATTAGGTCATTTAATTCCCGTACTTTCTTTTAAGATTTTGTTTTTACATTTTAAACACATTACCAAACCCCCACAAAACCGTTTTGGTTCTAGACTTCCTTACTTTATACTTATTTCAAAGGCTTTTTGAAGGAAAAGATCCTACTTCCCTGTGGATTCGATCCCTAAGTACTACAATCGATCAGCTGTGCACTTGCGGCTATTGATTTCAATTAGGGTAAAACTTGACAACCCTCGACACCACACATCAAGTCACATCAAGTTCTTGGCGCCGTTGCCGGGGAAGGCACGCGTTTTCTTTTCTGCAAAACCCCGAGAAAGGTTAGTAAATCGACTCTAGAACCCCCTTTTCTGCAACTTTCCATTTTTCGGTTATTTTGTTTCCATTTTAGAAGATATGGATCCTATAAATCGAAATATACACTATGAGGAAGGTTTCTATAACACTCCTCAAGCCACCAGACGCAGAGAAGAACACCAAGCCCGAAATCTTAGCTACATGGATCGATACAGCCAGCCAAACCACCCTTACCACCGGCGCAGAGAGACTGTTCGACGCCGGGAAGATCCTTATGGTCCACCTCCAACCTACTTCGAGCCACACGCCTATAATCCTCCACTGCAAAATCCTAGTCAGCAAGAGGACAACTTGAGGATCAGCAGACGTTTGGGACGCCTCGAAGGGATGATAAACCAATTCCTTGATCAGCAGATTCTCACCGAAAACACCCTGCTCAAGAAAATTGATTCAATCTCTGAAGAGTTCAACAGAAAATTCAATGATATGGCCAACCATATTCGAGTTTTGGAAGAGCAAACCCACAAGGACTCACAAACACTAGCTGGGATGATCCACCAAGTCGCAACAGAGCAGACAAGACAAAGGTATGACATCATACAAAACTCAAGTGATATTGTCGAATCAAAACAGAAGATTAAAGAAGTCAGAGAATCTGCCTCTTGGTATAGAGAGAAGACAGACGAAGAGTTGCAAGAGATCGAGCACAGGCTGAACAAACTCGAGCTCAAAGCACGGGAGATTGATGCAAGAATGGAGCAAATGCCCAACATTGAGCAAATTGAGAGGTTTTCTAAGAAATCTCCCAAAAATCCTGATGAAGATGCACAACAACGCCCTGGTATGAGTTCATATGATGCTATTCTACCAAATAAAGATGCAGGAGAAGTTCGTGTGAAGTACAAGAAGGAAGAAACGGACTTTGAGCAGGTCATATCCGGAGCCGCGGGTCCAAGCGTCCTAACCGCGGCCAAGAGCACTTTTCCCGCGGTCGCGACTCCTCTGACCGTGGGAGTTGGTCGTTCAGATGTTCCTCCGGGTTTTGAGAAGAAAATAATACACCTTCTGTCCCAACTTCAGCCTCCAGCACCTAAAAAAGCAACTCAGGAAGAAGAAAACCAAGTTTCAGATGAAGAACCAGATTGGCATGAATCATTACCTTGTATGATGGCAAAAGAATGTGTTGAAGATTCAGCTGACTCTTCAATCTAAGAAGACCAGACGTGCAGCGAGATAAAGATGCCATACATTGATTCAATCATTGAATATGACACTGCAGCTTTCTTTTGTGAATCATATTTTGCGTTTGAAACACCAGCCAACACCTACAGAGAAAGGCAAGTTTGAATTCTCCATAAGGTCAAGACTGCAGGTCAGTTTCTTATCTCTTGTTCTATTAGAGGAGAGATGTTTAAAAACGTGCTTTGTGATTCTGGAGCTTGTCTTAACATGATGTCCAAGGCAATTGCTTTGAGACTTGGTATCAAACACCTGCGCAGGACTAGAGCAAAGATTAGTCTAGCTGATGATTCTAATGCAACACCTCAAGGAATAGCTCATGAAATTCCTTTGAGAATAGGAGATTGCATAGTGCCTGTCGACTTCTACATTGTCGAGACAAGAGACGCAACATATCCAGTGATTCTCGGATGGTCTTTTCTAGCAACTTCTGGAGCTATAATGGACTGGCCAAACCGGAGGATTTCATTTGCTAATATCGACAAAGATGTCTTCACAGAAGCTGTTCCATACAACAGCAAAGCAGGAAAACGTTCTGCAGCAGAAGAGTTTGAAGAGGAACTTTGGAGTGACGAAGAACCTGCTAAGCAAAGCAAGGAGATGTCGAAAAAGACTTGTCTCATGACAAGGTCTTCTTCATTGGAATAAGTCACGTCCAACACCAAAAGTCGAGCTAAACGACTTAAAACAAAAGCGCTTAATGGGAGGCAACCCATTTAGGTATTGTTTTCTTTAGGATTTTTCTCTCTTTTTCTTTTGATCTTTTTCTTTTTCTTAGTTTCAGGTGTTTCTTATAAAACAAAAAAGCAAAAAAAAAAAAAAAACCAGAAAAAAAAACCAAAAAGAAGGATGGTACCTAACTGCTCGGCCCAGCAGGAACCAAGGAGAAGTAGGAAGAGGCCGCGATATAAGCCCTCGCGGTCGCAGGTGTTCGGACCGCGGGAAACCTATCATCGACCGTGGTCGCGTGAATATGACCGCGGCCCAGTGCTTGTTTGCCGCGGTCGTGCGGCCCCTGACCGCGGCACTTGGTCGTTGACATCAAACCCAACCCAAACCACCCCTTTCACCCCATCTCACCTCACCAATCACCCTCCACCCCATTCATCACCTTCCACCACCTTCATCACCACCAATCACCTTCCTAAACCCCTTCGAATGAATCCGGTTCATCTCCACCAGCATCCCGGATCCAGGTAAGTTCTCTTTGTCCTTACCAATTCGAATATTTATGCATTTTTCTCATCCAATCTCGACTTGTTTCACACTAAGGACAGTGTGATTTAAGTCTGGGGGAGGATTTCATCCCTTTCTAACCACTTTTCTTTCATGAGTCTTGCATTATCTACACTTTTTGCATTTTCCTTAAAGTTTTTCAAAATCGGTTTTCAAAATAAAATACGTTTTAAAAGGGAATGGTGAACATGAATCAATGATAGTTGACTGTGTGCTTTAGACTGTTCCTAGTGACATGCTCATTCATGATTTAGGACTAGACTAGGCGGGAGCTAAGCACATTTGAAACGAAGTACCCCAGAGGAATTTGAATGATTTCGATTTAGATGAAGGGATACACTAGCTCTGTTTTATTTTGGACTTAATTTTCTCATTGAAGCATTAGACCAGGGAAACGAATCATACATTCAGGACTCCTTTATCCTTTTACCACTCTCTGTTGATCCTGAATGGCTAGTTCATCTTTAGCTAGTTCCCCACCTTAACCAATCCTCTTTCAAACCACATGCACTCTTGTTTTCTATTGTCTTATATGCAGATAAGTGCAAAAACGTTGGAGAGAAAGAAGAACGACGCAGTTTTCAGTCACCAAGGACAGAGACCTGCGATTTGCCGGAAAAGTTCCCGGAAGGATTCAACACAAGAGGAAGCTCAGTTTGCCTTAGAAAAATCTCAAATTTTGGTACAATCTCGTCCTCTAGTCTCTCTCTCTTTAAAAGGCATTTCCTTTCCCAAAAAAAAAAAAAAAATCCAAAAATAAGAAAAGAAAGGAAATAAAAACCTTAGAGAGTCTAGAAAGGTCGAATTTTAAGTCCCAAGGCAACTGGTGTTTGATTTTATGGAGTTTTGGAGATTGTTTTCTGATTCCCGGAAAGAATCTAAGTCTGGGGGAACAGCTGTTTACAACAAGGGAGGAAGGATCATGCAACAACATTTGGCAAGAAGAAGTGATTGAAAACTGTGGTCATCAACAAGTCCTTATCTCTCTTGCTGTTTTGCATACTATCTAGCATCCTCCAGATCTTCAGGTAACCCGAAACACTTTAACTCCACCACTTAAATATCCCTTTAATGCCAACCGCCGTCTACCCTGGATGATGTCTTTAATGATAACTCACTATTGAACCTAATGAATGTAGAGAGCTAGTTGACTGAAATCAAGATTTAAATTGTTTAAGTTTTGCATGACGGAAAAAGTGAACTAGTATCTCTTGTGCATTGGTGAGAATTTTCTAGACTAAGTTGTGGATTGATGCACTATCTTTGGTCCTAGTTTAGAAGTTCATGTCTATGAGATTTGTGCATTTCCTATTTTTGTTTTCACTTAACCAGTTTAGGCTTTTGCTTTGTTTGAGCACAAACAAAGGTTTAAGTCTGGGGGAGTTGATAACACCGTATTTTGACCACTTTTATGGATCGTTTTGAAATACTTTTTCTATGTTTTTAATTGCTTTTAAGTACTTTTATTACGTTTTTCTAGTATTTGTACTTCCAAGACTCTTTTCAGGAAACTTAGGGAAAAGCTTCACAAAATGGATAGAAAACCAGATTTCAGCTCAGAGTCAAACTGTCAGAAGTTCACCCCTGATTGAAGGCCTTCTCACCGTCTGATCCAGCTCAAATTTGGAGACCTTAAAGATGGAAGTATCAGCTTTCCAGTGCAGTTTACAGCTTGGCAATCCAACGGTTCAATCAAAAGATACGCGAAGAGCAAGATGTCTCGTAAACCAGCCGGCAAGCACTTCCACCCACGGCCAACAAGCAATTTCCCGCGGTCAGGAGCATCCCGACCCCGGCAAACCACTCATTCCCCGCGGTCAGAGCACTCCCGACCGCGGCCATCAACCTCCGAGCCCAAAAAGCCCATTTCTGAAGCCCACATTTGGAGAAACCCTAAGTGACATCCAGAGAAGTCTTGAGCACTATAAATACATGTCTTAGGAACCCTAAATAGGTGGAACCGAATACCATCTATCATTACTTCATACTTTTATTGTTTTTTCTTTAGCTTTTAGGGAGAGAGAGATTTGTTCTCTTGAACCCTTGTTCTTTTTTTTTCAATTTCGGTTTCTATTCTACTTCTTAATATTATGTCTTTAATTTCGTTCATTATGTCTGAGTAGTTTTATTGTTGGGATTAAGGGATTTTCGATGGGGATTTATATGTTCGATGAGGATTCCATGAGCTTTTGAGCCGAATCTTAGAACTTTTTCTTCTGAATTCGTTTTTACTGCATGAAGGTAGCGTAATGAACTACAATCTGATCCAGATGCTTGGTGACACGAAAGTGTTTATCAGGTATCAGATCTAGTTTGAGAGAGCAAAACAAACATAGGAGTGGAAACCTACCTATGGACGATTTGTGAATTAGGACGAGTCTTAAACATAATGCATCTCTTATCTTCCAGGGCCAGAGTGGAAACCTACTGGTCAGGGTTGAGAGAGATAGTTGTCTATGATCACGACAGTGGCGTATTCATACGTCCGTGACTCCAGTTCGAAAAGTTTAAGCTAAGATCTTATCAATTTTACTCTCTAGCAAATGTTTTGAATCGTTCGTACCCCTGAGAAAACTTCCCTGAACCCCAACGCTTTCTTTTCCATTGATTTACACCGTTTTTATTTCAAGCTTTAGTTCAATATTGTCTTTCCTTTTTAGTAGATTTTCATTTAAGCAATTAGAATATCCGTTTTTCTTATTTTTATTCATTTTCGTTAAGTTTAGTTATTAGGTCATTTAATTCCCGTACTTTCTTTTAAGATTTCGTTTTTACATTTTAAACACATTACCAAACCCCCACAAAACCGTTTTGGTTCTAGACTTCCGTACTTTATACTTATTTCAAAGGCTTTTTGAAGGAAAAGATCCTCCTTCCCTGTGGATTCGATCCCTAAGTACTACAATCGATCAGCTGTGCACTTGCGCATGTTTTGTTTCTGGGCAGTGAGAAAAATGCATTCCTTATGTCTTCCGTGGTAAAAGGCTTTACCAGGTTCCTTTTCTGATCTAGGGAAGAAGTAAACTGAAGGAGCAGGTTCAAATCACTTTGCTTAAAAACAGGAGGCGCTGAGTGACCCCCAAGCAGCTCCACAAAGTAGCTAACACACTGATCTTGGATGCCTTTTAGCGTTTTAATCTTAGCACCATTACCGTCAAAGAGATAGTGAATGTGATTGAGAGCTTGTCTCGATGACACCATTTTGTGATAGTACGCTGTATTGCTATCTCCCAAACCAAGCCAAGCAATGCTTGACCGTTGATGAAAGAAAGCTTCCTCGGCATGGGCAAGCTCCTGCCACTTCACCAGGGCTACCATCTCGCGCTCAGCGTTGGTTGTAGTCGGATTTGCAAGCATCATATTTTGTGACTGCAGCAAGAGGTCATGAGCTTCACGAGTCCTTTTCTCTATCCCTGAGTAATTATCTTTGCTGAATTCTCTGATTGCCTTCTTCAATATCTTTAGTTTTTTAGATACCCGAAACATTGAGGAACCCACCACATTTATAGAATACCAGTTTGCTGTAATGAAGGGCACAAACTCCTTGTTCTAAAGAAGTAAATTGAAGAATTTGAAAGGCTTTTTTGACTTCTCTAAGAAAGGGTCCAAAACAACCGTGCAAGCTGCATGATCAGAGAAGTCAGGATTATCAAAGGACGCAAGAGTAGAGGGAAAGAAGTTATACCAAGAATCATTCACCAGAATTCTATCTATTTTCTTTGCCACAGGACAAGATTTCTGTTTGTTCCACCATGTAAAGGTGTTACCCCTGAAGTTAAGGTCGTGTAAATCTGCCTCCACCAAACATTGCCTGAAGACCCTTGTTCGTTTATCGACGTTCATACTGGCAGCCAGCGAATGCTCCCGCGGGTCTAGAACTTGATTAAAATCTCTGAGAGCTAGCCACGGTTTACCCTGAAGAAAACGACTTGAAGCAAGATCAGTGATATCTTTCCAAAGAGTCACTCTTTCCTCTGCCATATTTGAGGCGTATATTACCGAAACAATGACCACTGTTTGAGAGCCCGGCCAGATGATCTCACAAGTAACCATCTGCAGGGATTTGAATATGATCACTACTTTGACACTGGGATGCCAAACCATCCAAATCTTTCCCCACTCCGAGTACTCATAGTTACATTCAAAAGACCAGCCTGGCAAAATAGCAGTTATGAACTTTTTCTCCTTCGGCTGCTTAACATGAGTTTCTATTAATCCGCCAAAAATGGGTTTGTTAATATTAAACCACTTCTTAAAACCTCTGCGATGACTATATACATTGAAACCGCGGACGTTCCAGCAAAAGATGTCTTTACACATAAACTAATGCGATTTGGGGCCCTTGCCCCTAGCACCACTTAAACCCACAATCTTTTTCTTCGGAGGAGTTTTATTTGTCTGAGACTTTTCCACAATCTGCCCCTCCTCCTCGTCATCATCATTAAATCCAACCTCTTCTGAATCGCTCGATAAGACATCAGAAGAGTCTTCTTCTGGTTCAGAGATAACCTCGCTAGTGATTACAATTCCTTTTTGCTTCATCACTGTAGTAGGCATAAGCGGCGGGGTCACCTTCTCAATACTAGATTCACCAACATTGAAGTCTTTACCTTTACCCAGATCAGAATTTGAAACCTCGGCGATCTGTATATCCGAAGTAGTGTCGATGCCCTTTCTTTTATCAGAAACCTCTGTCCAGACTCTGCTCTTGGACCGCCCTCTTCGAGTTTTCTTTCCAGCATTAACTCCCTGCTTTGACTTCGGACAAGAGCTCAAATCGTGGGAAGAGGAAGAACAGATCTTACAGGTGATCGGAGATTTCGGACATCTCTTAGTGTTGTGGCCAATCTCCTTATAGTGGCCACAAACAGGAGGCATCCACGGACTTGAGACTAATATCCTGTTAATCACACCAGACTCAAACTGGACATTGACTGCTTCAGGAAGAGGCTTCCTTGGGTCTATGATAGTAAACACTTTTGCCACTTCGAGATTTGTTTTTTTTGCTGTGGATGGATGCAGGAATTTCGGATCTCCAACCATACCTGCTATTTCCCCCAATGCCTCATCATTGAAGAACTGAAATGGAACTTTCCTCAACTCCAGCCAGATTGGAGCTTTGGATAACTCTGGTTTGACGGGTATGACTCCAGGTTCCCATTTAGCAACAAACATAGTTTGTCCTTCTATTTGCCATAATCTCTGATTAATGACCCGATTCCTTGTGAATGCGTTTGGGATTCTAAAAAGGAAGGCATTGCCCTCCATTTTGGAAACAGATATATCCCTGTATTGTTTACTCCAAATCACATTAACAATATTGTGGATGATACCTTGAGAAGGAGGATCCGAGTAGAATTGTCCAATGATAAAACACTCCCATGAGTTCCTGTGTTTTTCAATGACCGAGTCACACATGCTTCCCCAGAGGGCAATGTGAATGCTTCTCTCTTCTTACAGAGTTGTTTTGCTGTTCCTTTGACGAGAGAACTCCAAGATGGGGTGCCAGCAGGGAGATCTGTGGTTTCCGGGGTCGTCTCAGTTATGGTTTCATCAGCTGGTTCCTTTGAAACGAGCTTGCTTGCAGCGCTAGCAGCATCAGTTTCAGCTTGGGTTGTCACCGGATCAGATAAGGGAATGGCGATCTCAGGGGCAACAGTTGATTCCTCAACAGATTTGGAACACAAATCCGAATTAGGGCTAGACATTTTTCCAATTGGGGGCGATGTGGGCGAGACAGGTTCCAGGGAAGGCTCAACCGGCGCTGATTCCGCTATTGGGAGCGGCACATCTGACTTTTGGGAAGTAACGATGGCTTTCGCGATTGACAGCGGCTTGGCAGGAAGCGAAGCCTTCGGCGGAGATTTGGGCTTTTTCTTCTCCATAAGAAGGGGGGGGGCTTGAGAAGAGGAAACAGACGGCGGGCGGCGAAACTGCCGCCAGAGGACGACCACAAAAGAGGGCACTTTTAATCGCACTTTTTATCGGGAGAGAAAAAAAAAGCGAAGATTGAAATCATTTTCACGATCATGACCTCGTGTTGTTTTTTTTCTTTGCATGTAAACTACATTTTGGGTTACATGTTTTGTGTATTAGTTTAAAAGAAATATAAAAATCATCTGGATTCGAAGTGTTTTCGGCCCTAAAGAGAAAATTGAGTTAACTAACAAACAAAATTGCAAATTTTCAAAATTTGATGCTGTTATATTCGTAATATACTTTGATGTCTAAAACATCATTTTGCTAGGCTTTTAGGTCATAAACTTTGTTTCTAGTATATTAGTACTGCAAATGCCAGGCAATAATGATAGAGTAGAAATTCTTATACACAAAATCTGTCATAAGAAATAGTATTGGTCTGATAGTTTATGCAAAACGGTACAAATGGAGTAACGCATGGTTTTCACTTCAGGTTTGTTGAGTCGGTATAAGGAAATGGGCTACTTATGTTTACACAAGGCCCATATTTTTCCAAAGCTTCCTGGGCTTATATATCCAGCACGAATTTACTCATACGTAAAATACGTCTCAAGGGTTAGTATTGGAAGCTTTGGAAAAACCAAAAAAAATTCAAGATATCTTGTTTTTCTGTTACTTATCTACAGACCAACAAAAAAAAATTCAAGATATATTGTTTGCTCACTTAAATACAAAAAAAAAAAAAAATTCCGAGTTTTTTTCGTAATTATAGCTTTAAAATAAAATAATTTAAAGAAGCAAATATGTTTTCATATAGAAAAAAATCTGCTACAGTTTCTACACCCACACTTTCTCTTCCATAGTTTCGTTTTCTTATCTGGATATTATTTTACACTTGGGATTAGGAGGATCTCTCGTGCTTCTTCGCTTCTCTCTCTCTCTCTCACTTAGCCATGGCTGCTTTCACTTGCACCTCTCGCCCTCCGGTTTCTCTCCGTTCAGAGACGAAGATCTCATCCTCACCATCGGCTTCTCTCTCTGCTCGGCGGATGTTCGCCGTGTTACCGGAATCAGGAGGATTGAGAATCCGTCTTTCTCACTCTCCGGCTTCGTTGACCTCGATTCATCCTAGGGTTTCTCGATTACGAAGAGGTGTCGTCTGTGAAGCTCAGGACACTACCACGGATAGTACGTTCTCGCTCTATGCTATATATCTCTTCTTGTTCGATTTGGTTTTGATTTATTTGGCTCTGAGCATCTTCTGGGCTTGATTCGTGTTACTTGATGGATTTTGGTAGTGTTTTATGAACTGATTTCGTGTTGATTGATTGATTGGTTGTAGGGAAATTAGAAGTAGGGTGCTCGAATTTGTATGTTGTTGTACGCATTTTAGTAATTTGTTAATCTGCTAAGAACTTTGTAATTAGTTCCAATTTAGTGAATCTGGAAAAGAGTTTCTTTGAGAGAAAATACGTTTGAGAATTTGAGAAAATCCCTGCTGAAATTGAGGTTTCGGTTAGAGGAACAATTCATGCCGTTTGCGTGAAAATTGAAGAAAGTTGCATTTTAGGATATTTAGTATGAAAATGTAAATTCTCTTTTCACATTTTAAGTAGAAGAAGAACCTATAAAATGTGGGAGACCTACTCAAATATCCTCTTCATTGGATCACACCATTTTGGGACAAGAAAGTGTTTAATTATCTGGCTCATGAGAGAGCAAACATGTTTTGATTCCAGGGATTTTGTGCTTTAGAGTAGACATGCTTTGATTCTAAGAGCAGATCACGGTTAACTTATCAATACTTCAATAGTATTTCTTTTGCTAATTTTAGACAGGTTAGTCCTTTCCCATGATAATGTGTTTAGTGAGATTAGCAGGGATGGCTCTCTGCTACATTCTACTCATTAACACGATTGAAGATAATAAAACACGGTCCTTTACTTGGACTGCTTTTGAGATCACACAAACTTCATTCTATTTGCGCCCCATTCACTATTTATCTGAAGATTTGTGTGCCCAATAAACACTCTGTACTCCATTATCTACATTATGCTTAGAGAAAATTTCACTTCTAGATTGAGATCATATATACATGTAGCCAGATAGGTTCAATGCAACATACCCATGTGACCAAAGATGGATGAATGGTTTAGCTGTCTCTCTGGTTAACTTATGAAGCATTGTCCTGCTATCTTGACTAATTTATTTTGCTTTTCATTCATAATTCTAAAGGATAAGTTGTTCATTTTTGTTTTATTGATTATAGTAGTTTCAATAGTCAACGACTCGACGTGGGAGTCTCTAGTTCTCAAGGCAGACGGGCCAGTACTGGTTGACTTTTGGGCACCATGGTGTGGACCTTGCAAAATGATTGACCCGCTCGTGAATGAACTAGCGCAGCAGTACACCGGGAAGGTCAAGTTCTACAAACTAAACACCGATGACTCTCCTTCAACCCCAAGCCAGTACAATGTTAGAAGCATCCCAACGATCATGATCTTTGTCAATGGCGAGAAGAAAGATGCAATCATAGGCGCAGTGCAGAAGTCCATACTCACATCTAGCATTGACAAATTCTTGCAATGAGATTTCACTGCGAGTCTGTAAGATCTCTCCCTCTTTCTCTCTCTCTCTCATTCTCTCTGTAACTGCGCTTTCTTTATAGCTATCTGCTTCTTCTCTACTGTATCTTTCTTCATCACTGAACATCTAGACCTGGATAAATAATATGATGTTATGTTTCTTATGGTATTTTTTACCGACATTTTCTCGATTAAAGACATCAGAGATCAATCTTGAAGTGGTATCTATTTTTGGTCGAGAGAGAGAGAGAGCGAGAGAGAGAGAGATCTTAAGATTGTTCGGTTCTGCAACTTTGTTGATGAACACACGCTAAGGTTGTCACATTCTAAAACCCGTCGTATTGAAGATTTTATTATGTGTTAACTTTAATGAGCGCATTTACGTAAAAGGGATAAAGGTTATACCTGATCTAACTTCTAACCAAAGATAATTTAAAGGTAAAATCGAAAAAACTCTATCGATCCACTAGCAATAGAGACTAGACTACGTTTGAAATAGTTCTTTAAATTTGCACAAGCAAAGAAACACACAGTAGTTTATGTGTACCTAATTTATGGATAAGTATGTCAAACTAGGACAAAAGGAATGAAAGCTGAAAGAACTGAGTTTTTGGACTGATCCACAGTAACCGATAAGGTGAGGTTTTTTTCCTAATCCTGTCAAGGACAAATTGTGACCCAAACCAAATTATTTATTATTTTCAAATTAGTATTCCAAAGTTAGCACAAAAATACGTATTTACCTTAAACTAATTATAATTGGCTTTTCTCTTATAAAACAAATTTAGTCCATTTTGATATTCAATTTGTGCTAGTAGTGAAACATTGTAAAATGGTTGGTATTTTCAAAACCAAAATTCTGTTTGGTGTAATTTGTGAGAAGTGTCTAGAAATCTATTATGAAACCAAACCGAAAATCGGATTAGACGTCTCTGTTTGTAATGTTTATTTTTTGGTCGATCTCTATTTGTAAAGTTTATTTTTTGGTCGATCTCTATTTGTAATGTTTATCGAGACATGCTAAACATATATTACGAGCATTAGTTTAGGCCAAAGATAAGGTCAAAAGAAGGATACACGCAAACCCTTCCGATTTTATAATATTATCATTAGGCCATGATAAATGCTTTTTCCTGACCTTTTGTTTGTATAAACTTTCATGACCTTACAAGTCGCAACAACATATATAAATGGAACAAAAGCATAATGACCGAATTAGAACAAGTGTGTTATATTGAAACAAAGCAAGTCAATATCGGACAACTTCGTTGAAACCTACCCCACTTTAGGTTCTTGTATTGTTAGATAAGGCATATTTATACGAAGACTTTATTAATGTTTTAAATTAACAAGCGGACAATGTTTTAATCATTTGAATTCGAGTGTCGGCTATATTCTCTACCAAATATGGTGCAGCTTGATAAGATAAGTGATAAAACAATAAAACGGTGATTGTTGTGAAAACTTAGAAACTTTATTAATCACTGGAATGTATATATAGAGTACATAGGGAATCTAGGTTAAGTACAATGCCCTGATGGGCTTAATGGGCCAGTATAAGAGTCCATATATGATATGTGTTATAACACTCCCCCTTGGACGAGTGAACCAGGCCAGCTACTCAATCGGGATCTCGATAATGCGCTGGGGAATGTTGCCTCATTAAAACCTTACCAGGAAAAACCCAGTGGGACAAAACCATGGTGAAGGAAAAAGAGTACAACACGCATTACTCCCCCTGATTGTAGCATCACTGCAGATCTCTAAGTCTATACATTCCTATCTGTTTGACGAGCTTCCGGTGTGTTGAAGTAGGCAATGATTTGGTGAAGAGGTCAGCTGAATTCTCACTGGATCGGACCTGCTGAACGCTGAGAGTGCCGTCCTTCTGCCAGTCTGAGGTTGAGAAGAACTTTGGTAGAATGTGCTTCGTCCGATCTCCTTTGATATATCCTTCCTTGAGCTGAGCTATGCATGCCGCGTTGTCTTCATACATCACCGTGGGCTGTGTGTCTTCGTCCATACCACAATCTCTGCGGATGTGCTGAGTCATGGAGCGCAGCCAGACGCATTCCCTACTAGCCTCATGAATGGCTAGGATTTCAGCATGGTTTGATGAAGTGGCAGTGAGTGTCTGCTTCATTGATCTCCAATAGATGGCTGTTCCTTCATGCGTAAAAACGTAGCCAGTTTGAGACTTGGCAGTGTGCGGATCTGATAGATATCCTGCATCGGCGAAGCCGACTAACCCATCTTTATTTTGGTTAGTATAGAAGAGTCCTAAGTCTTGAGTACCTCGAAGGTATCTTAGGAGATGTTTTATACCGTTCCAGTGCCTCTGAGTTGGGGATGAACTATATCGAGCGAGGAGGTTCACGGCGAAACATATGTCTGGTCTAGTGTGCCTAGCCAGGTACATTAACGCTCCTACAGCACTGAGGTATGGCTTTTCAGGACCAAGGATTTCTTCATCATCCTTTTTGGGACCAAGAGGGTCATCACTTAAGCTTCTAACTACCATTGGGCTAGTCAATGGGTGAGCTTGGTCCATATTAAATCGCTTGAGTACCTTTTCGATATAAGCCGATTGATGCACAAGGATTCCTCCTTTGATGTACTCAAGTTGTAATCCCAAACAGTACTTTGTTTTGCCTAGGTCTTTCATTTCGAATTCTGCTTTTAAGCAGTCGACTGTTTGAGAGATCTCACCAGATGTTCCGAGGATGTTTAGATCATCCACGTATACTGCTATGATTACAAATCCTTTGTTTGAGTACTTCTTGATGAAGATGCATGGACTGATGGGGTCATTTTTGTAGCCTTCTTTGATGAGGTAATCGCTGAGGCGGTTGTACCACATACGCCCACTTTGTTTCAGTCCATACAAGGATTTGTTCAGCCTGATGCAGTATTGATCTCGAGATGCATTTTTGTCTTTTAGTTCAATGCCATCTGGGAGTCTCATATATATTTCGTTGTCCAGGGGCCCATAGAGATATGCGGTTACAACATCCATTAACCGCAGATCAAGATTTTCTCTTATGGCCAGACTTATGAGGAATCGGAATGTTGTTGCATCCACCACTGGAGAATAAGTCTCCTCATAATCGATTCCGGGTCTCTGTGAGAATCCTTGTGCTACAAGCCGTGCTTTGTATCGAACGACTTCACCGAGTTCGTTCCTTTTGCGCACAAAGACCCATTTGTGGCCCACTGGCTTGATGTGTGATGGGGTCCGGATGATCGGACCGAACACGTTTCTGAGTTTGAGACTCTTTAATTCCACGTTTATGGCTTCTTTCCATTTTAGCCAATCTGTTCGATGTGTACACTGTGTTATTGACGTGGGTTCTAGATCCTCTTGCGTGAGCGCAACATCAAGTGCTACTTTGTATGCAAAGAGTGCATTTAAGTCGACTTCTTTTCGATTCCATTGTATTCCGGACATATTGTAATTGATGGAGATCTCATTGTTATCTTCTGAACCTGGAGATTCGGCGTCCCGAACTTCCATTGAGGGTTCATTAGATTGAGTCTCAGCCGCGGCTATGTCTGATATTGCAGGAATCCCGGTTTCGGTTATTGCACCTTTCTTTGATTTCCGGGGATTCTTATCTTTGGAACCGAGAGGTCTGCCCCGTTTGAGACGTGGTGCAGACTCTGTAGCAACTTGGGTCTGTCCCGTTGGGACAGCTATTCGTACTGGTGCATTACAAGCTGGGATGTACGATTTGGTTACTTTGGTCGGGTCAGCAAAGGAATCTGGCAATTGATTAGCTAGCTTTTGGTAATGAATAATCTTTTGGATCTCTGAATCACATTCTAGAGTCCGAGGATCTTGCCAATTTAATGATGTTTGATTCCATGAAAGATCTTTGACCAGCTTGTTTGTCTCACCACCTAAAGAGGGATATACCGATTCATCGAATTGGCAATCCGCATATCTGGCCTTGAAGAGATCTCCAGTGGTTGGCTCGAGATATCTTATGATGGTGGGAGAGTCAAAACCAACATATATTCCCATCCTTCTTTGAGGTCCCATTTTGGTTCGATGTGGTGGAGCAATGGGTACATATACTGAACACCCAAATGTTTTGAGATGGGAGATGTCTGGCTCATGACCCGAGAGTAGTTGGGATGGGGAATATTTGTGTTCACTAGATGGCCGGATGCGTATGAGTTCAGCAGCATGTAATACTGCATGTCCCCATGCTGAGGCCGGGAGCTTTGATCTCATGAGTAATGGTCGGGCTATCCATTGAATGCGTTTAATGAATGATTCAGCCAATCCATTTTGAGTATGGACATGTGCTACAGGATGTTCCACGGTTACCCCCATGGCCATACTGTTTCTCGGAAATAGTAAATTTTAAAAGGTATGGTTTTAGTTACCCCGAACATGATGTCGGTTTAATAGCTGTGATTTAATCGGTTAAAGCCGAATATAATTTCGGTTAATGAGAACCAGGTTTAGCCGGTTTTAGGCGGTTTAGGAGGAACCCTAGGGGAGCCGAATATGATTAGGGTTTTATCTAGGGTTTTAACGGTTTGGAAAACATATTTTGGATGTGATTTCGAGATCTATAGGATCTGTGGTCGATGGTTTTAATAATTTCACAAGGACAACAAAGAAATCACGTGAAAAGGACTAGGGTTTAAGCATTATGACTTACGATTTTGAAGATTACAAAATCGTGAATCAAGCTTAGGATTTAGGGTTGATTTTCTTAGTTTATTCAATCAAGTGTTTCAAGCAAGAGAATCAACAATCAAATAAGCTGCAACAAGCTTATTAAACATGAAGAAAATCGAATAGGTTTATGCCATAAACATGGCCAAAAATGGTTGTTAGGTTTTTGTAGATTAGGGTTTTATAAAACGAGTTTAAAACCTATGAACATGCATAAACTTGTAATTTAAACAATCAATCAACAAGTTATCAATCAATCATCAGAGTATCAAACACTTTCAATCAATTAGAGATCGATTTTTTTTTTTTATAGGGTTTTGAAGTGTTTAAACAACAGGTTCTAAGGCTTTCAGTTTTAGAAGATACCTTTTCCACCTTTGGATTTCTGACAGGCTAATGAAACTGGGAGTTAATAGACCTCAGTTAGCCGCTACAAATTCCAAGGATTGATCACCAAAACTGGAGAAGCTGCTGGTTGAAGAAGGAAAAACTCGGATCTGGTTTTTTTTTTTCGGTTGATCGTCGTGTACTGTAAGTGTGCGTGAGGGCGCGTCCGACGTTGGATCGACAAACGGTTTTCACCAGTAGATTCGTCTCGTCGAGGGCTTCGATTTGATATGTAGATCGTCTTCTGGTTCCTCACGGTTTGGAAGATATGCGTCTTTTAAGTTTCGACTTGCTTTTAGGGTTTTAGTGGTGGCCGGATTTATTAGGGTTTTTCGCTCAGAGAGTCTTATCGTGCTGATAACGTGTTGTGAAAACTTAGAAACTTTATTAATCACTGGAATTTATATATAGAGTACATAGGGAATCTAGGTTAAGTACAATGCCCTGATGGGCCTAATGGGCCGGTATAAGAGTCCATATATGATATGTGTTATAACAGTGATATGTTTTTTTTTTTTTAAATTAACTGATTTTTCATTCAACAAATCAGGAATACATTTTTCTTCCCAGCGGGTTACAGCTCATCAATCTTAGATCAAACAAGTGATCTGCATACAAAAAATGAAGAAATAGCTAAGCTAATTCTATTAGTTAAAAGAGCGAGAACCAAGTCTGAAGGATCGAAGGAGAAGAGTCAGTGTTAGGTTGAGCTCGCGCTAAAGGATCGAGCCTGCATCGGATCATTTTCTTGATGTCCGAGATAATCACAGAGGCAGGCGTAGAGATTTGCGAGTGGAGACACACATTTCGCTCTCTCCAAATACCGTAGAGAGAGGCTTGGAAAGCAAGTCTCGTAATGACAGATAAATTAGCATCACGAGACGGCGAGATTAGCCATAGAAGGCATTGCTCGAAATCCTGCGGAGGAGAAAGGTGGGCCGGAGAGAAGAAGGCGTGCCAGATCTCCTGGCTGAAAGTGCAATAAAAAAAGAGATGTTACCTGGTCTCGTCGTCCACATCACAGAGAAGACAACGGGGAGAGACAGGAAGCCCCCAATTGCGAAGACGGTCCCTAGTGTGCATGCGATTCCGTGCTGTGATCTAACAAATGAACGAGTGTTTGGGTATGCGACCCTTGAACCAGATCGCCTTCGCCCACGGAACCGGAGGCTGCGGCGGATGAAGAGCATGCCATGTAGCAGAGGTCGAGAATGCTTTTAGAATGCCATTAGAACCAATCTTCCACATGTAGGTGTCATCAGCATCCGAAAGAGCTATTGGAGCCGGAGAGGGAAGGCATTGGTGAAGAAGAGTGATGATCGGATTTCTGCTCCTTGATCCATCAATCCACCACCTGCCATTGCCAAGAGCATCCATCACCCTTGCCTGAAGCGATAAGCCAGAGCTGCGCGGGCCAGAGGGACCCGTAATATCGATCAAGGGACCAAGAGAAGTCCAGTTATCCTTCCAAAAGCTTGCTGTGATACCCGACCCAATCTCACAGAAAATGAAAGCACGAGCTAAGTCCCTGAGCTTGATTATTTGTTTCCAAATCCAGCTTCCTGAGCTGAAGTTGCAGTCCCAAAAACAATCACCTTGGATGAGATTGATACGAACCCACGACACCCACAAAGAGCCTGAGGATGTGAAAATCAGCCAAATAAGCTTCAGACCCAAAACTTTATTCCAATCCATTAATCTCCTTAATCCCAAACCACCACTGCTCTTAGGAGTGCAAACGGAGTTCCAAGAAATCTTAGCACCTCTCGCCGAATCAGCGACTCCTTTCCAGAGGAAGGCGTTGCATATTTGCTCAAGAATGGCAAGACAGCTTTTTGGAAGAATAAAAATTGAAGCCCAGAAATTGATGGTTGAGTAGATTACCGACTGGATGAGCTGGAGTCTTCCTGCAAAGGACAGCTGCCTAACTGTCCAAGAGGAAAAGCGCTTAGAGATCTTCTCGATGAGGGGCAAAAAATCATGCTTCGTCATCTTTTTAGTAGTAAGAGGCACTCCCAGATAACGGACCGGGAAGGAACCCTGAAAAAGACCATGTCTTTGACAAATCTCTGTGGAGTGAAGCAGATTTCCACCATCCAAGAAGAGATAGGATTTCTCTCTATTCATAGATAGACCAGAAATGCTTTTAAAGTCATCAAGAATAGAGAGAATACCTATGAGAGAGTCTTCGGATCCGTCAAAGAATATGAGAAGGTCGTCGGCGAAGCTCAGGTGGGTTATAAGAGGGACTGAACAACTAGGGTGAGGTTGAAAGACCTGGTTGATGACACCTTGATCCAGCATTTTTGATAAGATGTCCATTGCGAGTGCAAAAAGCAGTGAGGAGATAGGGTCTCCTTGCTGAAGTCCTTTTTTGCCATCGAAAAATACAATAAGGCCCCCATTGAAAGCAATGCTGTAAGACGGAGAAGTAACACATTCGCGAATCCAGGATATAAAAACCGATGGAAGATCAAAAGCTTCCAAAATGTTGAGGAGGAACTTCCAATTTAGGCTGTCGAGGGCCTTGGTGATATCAATTTGCAGACACCCCCGAGATGTTAAACCCTCTTTATGAAACCCATCTACTAGTTCCAAGGCAAGTAAAACGTTTTCACAGAATAACCTTCCTTTGATGAAGCCAACCTAATTAAGTTGGACCACTTCCGAAATTAGAATTAATTTTTGATTGTCAATTTTGTTAGAATTAATAAACATGAATACTTGTAGCAATATAATATTCGTAATCACATTTTTACGTGTTGAACGTTGAATAGCGACTTTTGATGATGTTTAGATTGGTGATGATCGACAGAAAATTCAAATAATCTATGTGTATCATATATGAGAGATATCGTCATATGGAATAATGAATTTAAACCAATCACACCAATTATTTGTCTAAGATATGAAAAATGGAGTAATTAACGCGTCAGAGACTTAGTCCGATTATACAATTAAATTAATTGTTTTTGTGTCTAATCATAAGAGAGTTTGACTAAGAAACACAAGATTCGGCTACTAATTTATTCAAAAAAAACAGTTGTGACTTGTGAACACAAAAGAAATTAATAGAAAAAAGAAAAGGCTCACAAAGCAAAACAACGTGTCTCGTGAGGTTGTTTTTAAAGAACATCATCGTTAGTTGTGAAGATTTGCCAAGCGTGAAGAGAACCATCTTGGAGCTTTCTCATAAGTCCTTTTCTCTCTTCGGTCTACCCAATCATCGTTTTCCACTGTTCCTTAATTTATTCACATATAAATATAGTTTATTATAGGTTTAAGTAACACACCACAAAATATAAAATTTTGGAATTTGTTTTGAGTCGGATCAATGATCTATTTGCTTTGTTTTTATTTCTTTCATTGGTAACATTGACAATTAGCGGCTAAAATGGGAATGTCAGTTATATAGTTAGTACGATCATAATTATAGTCAACACTCATATATTTTGTTTGACTTGTTATAGATTCATAATGTAAAATTTTCTTTTTATATGCTCCTAAACATTTATAGTGAAAGAAAAAAAATGTTTGGTGAATGCACCTCAAAATAAGTGATCGGACACTTGGTGCCTTGTGCCACGACCGTTACAAGTAATCAAGGGTTACTTTGCCACTTTATTTTTGTTTGTATGTTTTAATTGAAAATAAGATCGGTGGTGAGCGTTTTTATCCATCCGAACAAATTCGTGTCATGTACAATTTTAAATTTTAGTGACAAAATATTGGTGAAACTGAAAACCACTGGCTCATGAAAACCTCAAGCGCATTTTAATTATACACACATGGATTTTTATAGTCTCGCGTTTAATTAAAGGAAAAGATGTCTATGGTTATGGTTATCTTAAAAATTAAGAAATTACATAAAAAATAGATGAATCTTTCACATCGCCACGTCATCAAGATATCATTGCTTTCTCGAATTCGATGCTAATATCTTTTTTCTTTGGATAGTATTTTTAATAAAAATCGTATAAATGGAATCCTTCTCTTTCTTCTTTGCTGCTTCTACAAAACCCAGATTTTCCCCTCTTCTCTTCTTTTTGTGCTAAACACTTTTTCTCTCCTTCCTCATCTCAATCTCTGTTCACATATCGATACAGTACTTTGGGGTTTATCCAGACGCCGATTATCTGGTTAGTATTTCTAATTCTCGTCTCTCTCTTTCTCTTCCTAGTGTTCCTATATTCGTGCGTTTGCGTGTTTACACATACTTATCTAAATGTGTATGTATAAAGTGTATCTGTGACTATACTGATTCACCGGCGATTTCTCGGTCTTTTGATTTGGGGGTTTCCCTTTAGATTTGAATTGCTGTTTTTTTCTAAAGGCGATGACTTTGACTCTCTGCTTTTACTGAGTCTTCAGATCATTCTCTTTTGTTCTTCTCTCGTTGCGAGTTATTGATCGAATTTGTTGTTTTCTTTAGCGGGTACGAGTTTCGGGAAGATTCTAAAACCCCGCTCTTGTTGAATCGTGGGTTTTTCTTTAGTTTCATCGGTTTTAAAATTAAATTTTTAGGGTTCTTCCGTAGCTGGCTAGTTAAAAGGGTTTAAGCATACAGATACAATCCTCATGATTCTAGATTTTCTGATTTTTTTGATTTTTGTAATCCTTTGCACCTTAACCTAATTCTCACCTCACCTTGACGAATATAGGCAAGCTTTGTGTGATTCACTTGTAAATTTGATTAACACCTAAGTTTTTTTTTTAAGAAGTTGTAGCATTCTTCTGGATCTAATCCTTTACTGTATCTGCCCCAAAAAAACATTTTTTTCAGACTTTTGATCAATGGATTTGGACCAATCCTTTGATGATGATGCTGTACCTGGAGAACTCTATGGAGAAGGTGCATTTTGTTTCAAGAACAGCAAACCAGAACCCATCACAGCCTCGGTTCCTTCTGATGATAGCAATGAGTCAAATTTCGACTGCAACATTTGTTTAGATTCCGTGCAAGAACCTGTTGTGACTCTCTGTGGTCACCTCTTTTGCTGGCCCTGCATTCACAAATGGCTTAATGTACAAAGCTTCTCAACAAGCGATGAATACCAAAGACATAGAGAGTGTCCTGTTTGTAAATCCAAAGTGTCTCACTCTACATTGGTTCCTTTGTATGGCCGAGGCCGTTGCAATACTCAGGACAAAGGTATAAGCAGTGTGCCTAGAAGACCGGTTTACCGGCTTGAGATGCCAAGTTCGTCGTATTCCAGTACAGATCTCCGGTTATCACAACGGGTTCATTTCAATAACCCACAGGAAGGTTACTACCCTGTCTCAGGGGTGTTAAGTTCGAACAGTTTATCTTACTCTGCTGTCACGGATCCAATGATGGTGATGGTCGGAGAAATGGTGGCTACGAGGCTGTTTGGAACACGAGTGATGGATAGATTCGCGTATCCGGACACTTACAATCTCGCGGGGACAAGCGGGCCGAGGATGAGAAGACGGATAATGCAGGCAGATAAATCGCTGGGAAGAATCTTTTTCTTTTTCATGTGTTGTGTGGCTCTGTGTCTTCTACTGTTTTAGAGTTCTCGTCACTATGTTCAAGTGTAAGGAAACATAGGCAAAGAAATGTACATCTGTGGTAGTAGAAACATATCAAAGTTGCTCAATGTTCAGAAGTTTTTTTTTTGTTTTGTTTTGGGTTACACAGTATCTTGGTCTGGAGTATCTTGGTTTTGGGTTACGCAGTATCTCTAGATGAAAGGGAAATTTAGTAGGCCTGATTTGCATATGTATGTATAATTAGCTCATGGGTGAGAAAATTAAGAACTAGACTTTTCATTTTTTAAGTAGTTGATATTGGGGTAGATATTAAGTTGACTTTGTATTACCATTCACTCTAAACTTTAAAGTCACAGCTCCGTAATCGAGGTTATAAAGGTTACTTTGGATAAAAAAAAGACCTTGATTATGTCTCTGCATTCACTTTCATTACACTCACCCACATGGCCACATTGCCCGAGACACTGAGGGAGTTAGATAAATAGACGACCACAGTCTGTCTATCTCTCTCGCTCGTCAAGCTTTAGCTACTCCTTTTGCATTTCTGATCCCCTTCCTCTACTTGGTAAGTTTCTCTCCTTATTCTACTTGGCATGATTGACTTTTTTTTTGGTTGGAGAACTAAAACTGTCTTTTTTTCAAACGATTTTTGCAGTGATTTATGGTTAAGATGGCTAGGTCTGAAGCAGTTCTAGATGGAATTGAGGCACAGAGGTCAACTGATGTGTCTCATGAGCAATGGAGACAGAGATACATCCCCATGAATCTGATAAATTATGGCTTACGCACACTCAGGTCAAGAGGTTTTCTTCAAGCCGGAGGAGAAGACACGACGCCAGTGCCGAAGTTTCTTACTAATCTCAGATTGTCGGATCTTTTGGACTTCCCTGGGGAATATGTTCCAATGAATCCAGAGATCTTTAGCGCAGTGAGCTCGGGGAAAATAGAATGCCTTGAGAAGTTGAGAAGCTATGGAACGCGGATGGCTTGTCTCAAAAGCGATAAAGGAGAATCTGTTCTTCACCTTGCTGCTTTTTGGGGTCATCTAAAACTAGTGGAGAGCATTGTCTCTGAATGTCCGTGCCTTCTCTTGGAGCGAAACTCGAATGATCAGCTTCCTCTTGGCTCGTGCTGGTCATTCATCAGTTGTTAAGGGTCTTGTTGCCTCGGTAACATTTGTCTCAGCTAAATTGTATGATGAAGAAGAGAGGGAGAGACTTGATCTATATTTTGTGAAAGACAGAGATGGAGATACTCCTCTGCATTTGGCCCTGAAAAGCCACCAAATGAAGATAGCTTCTTGTCTAGTGAAAGCAAACAAGGGTGCTTCGTTTCTTGCGAACAAAGTTGGAATATCGCCTTTGTATTTGGCAGTAGAAGCTGGCAAAGTGTCACTTGTGAAAGAAATGCTGAAAAGTACTTGCAATGATGGCACAAAAGGGAGAAATACCACCTTAGATTCACGTTTGGAAGGGAGAAGATATCTTGCACACGCTGCTTTGAAGTCAATGCGGGCAGGTTCGATTGCTTAATTTAAATCCTAATTGGATGACTAAATCTTATATATATGTGCTAACTAACTGTGATATTGCCACTTGCCTCAAGCAGCAGATATTCTTAATGTTATTCTTGATGAATTCCCAAGTCTTGTGGATGAACGAGATGAAGAAGGAAGGACTTGTCTCTCGTTTGGAGCATCCATAGGGTGTGTTGCAGGAGTGCGCGTCCTGATAGCGAGATCAGCAAAGAGTATTTATGTATGTGACGATGATGGATCTTTTCCAATCCATTCCGCCGTAGAGAAAGGTAATTTCAGAGTTGTGGACATGATTCGAAGATGTTGTCCAGATTCAAAACACCTGCTTAACAGAAAAGGTCAGAACATTCTTCACATTGTAGCCAGTAGCGGGAGTTGGATCTTTCTAAAACTATTGATTTTGTGTTATGTAATAAGAATAAAAGATCTGGCTACTGAGCAAGATATGGATGGGAATACACCTCTGCATCTCGCCACCCTTAAGTGGCGCCCTCGAATTGCTTTTTCCATTAAGATGAAAACAAACTTGTACATACAGAACAATAGTGGCTTGACAGCTCTGGATATTGCTGAGTTAAGGCTACAATCTAATTACATATACCGGGAGGTATGTATATGTTAATTTTCCCACCTTAAAAACAATTTTATAGGATATCACATGGATTATTTACAGTTTGAACCTTGATTGCATTGCAGAGGATGACACTGATGATCTTATTATGGGATCATGCTGACAGAGACCCTAATCTCATGAATACCACGAAGCTAACAAGACCATCAGAACCTCTAAACCGTGAGGGAAAAAAAGATTATATCAACGCTCTTCTAGTGGTGGCAACTCTTGTAGCAACAGTAACGTTTGCTGCAGGTTTTACAATACCAGGTGGATTCAACAGCTCTGCTCCTAACTTGGGCATGGCCACACTGGCCACTGACCCTCGTCTCTTCATTTTTCTGCTACTTGACACACTGGCTATGCAAAGCTCCATTCTTGCTATAGTTTCTCTTGTTTGGGCGCAGTTGGGGGATCCTGCACTCTTTCGAAGCTCCATGAATTTCGCTTTGCCCTTACTGTGTTTTGCTCTAGCGTCCATGGCGTTTGCATTCTTTTTCGGCGTGGTGATGACAGTTCAGCATGTTAGAGGGCTTGTCCTCACCATTTACATTATAACTGGGCTATTCTTCTGTATGATGTGCTCTATCATTGTCCCTCACGTTTTCCTACAGCGACCTGGCCTTGGGTTTTTCTGGGGTTTGCTTTTCATGTTGTGTATACTATTAGTTGATGACAACGAAGAAGATAATCATCAGATCTCTACTCACAAGTCTATGAAGAGGGCGGAGTCTGTGGAGATCTCAGGCAATGATCAGGTCGAAATGCCAGACACTACTTAAAAACAGAGAATGTTTCCTATTGGTTTTATATATATGTAGTTTCGTTTAAGACTGTACTTGTGATATATGTAGTTTCCTTTTTAAGACTCTGCTTGTTTTCTATTGGTATTATGTAGTTTCGTTTAAGACTGCAATTTTTTTTTAGCGAAGAAACTCGACGCTTTGTTATCAGTTTCAGGTGGTGAAGATGATAATTATGCAAGTGATGTGTGTGTGTGTTTTATGAAGGAGAAAAGAGAAAAACTGAGGAGCAAGTTTTGGAGTATATATGTTTTTAGAAATGGAAGATTCGAGAGAGAGTTCGAGATTTCCTCGTATTGAAAAGAAAATTGCACATTTTATTCCTCAACTATTTGCAATTGACATAAATAATCTTTAACTATCGTGATTGCAAAAAAAATTTCAACTCAATGTTGACCACGCAAAATTAAGATTAATATAGTCAACCATTAACTGAGAAAACGGAAGGCGTTACATTAAATCTAACTTTTTATGAGTCCAATTTCGCAGAGTTAATATAAAGTTGAGGAATTAATTTGCCAAATTAAAAGTTGAAGAATTAATCTGTAAAATTATAAAACTTGAGAAATTAAATGAACTGAAATTTAAAAATATACACATAATTGTTAAAGCTTATTCATAACAACGGTGAAAATTATTACGTAGCACTAAGAACTATTGAATGTGAAAAAACTATTAAATTGTTTGTTCATAACAATTTTAATGATTTTCTTTTAACATTAAAAACTATTAAATTTGAAAAGAGAATAAATCAAAATAATTATATAAAACTATATAAGAACTTAACCGATAAGTTTTTACAGTTACAGAAACTTTTTTTTTGTATTTGATTTTATTAATAAAGTAATCTTAGTTGAATCTCTATTGTTCATGCATGAAAGCCTAAATTACTTGGATCTTACCATCGTATTTTTATAGATTTATATAGTCAGATTCGAGCCGTAGAGAATGTGGGATAGATCATCACTTAAGATCAACTACTTTTTTTTTTAATTTCTAGTGAGTCACATTTTTATTTTAGATCAGTAGTTTTTAGACTATAAAATTATATTGTAAAGTATTGTTTTATAATTATAAAAATCTGGTTTGTAGCACATGAGTACCATCTAAGAGCTACAAAAAAAATTAGAAAAATATATGTTTGTTAAATTAAACTTTATTCAGAAAATAGAATTTACCTGTTTTTTACCACATGATTTTTTTTTTTTTCGCAAAATGCTACATTTTTTTCTCAACTTGAACTACCATTTTTATTACACTAGAGCTATATATAGTTTAATTGATTTTTTTTGCACATTCAATAGTTTTTAGTGCTATGTAATAATTTTCTTAACAGTTATATGTATATTTTTAAATATTAATTCATTTAATTCCTCAAGTTTTATAATTTTACAGATTAATTCTTCAACTTTTAATTTGGCAAATTAATTCTTCAACTTTATATTAACTCTGCGAAAATAGACTCATAAAAAGTTAACGAGATTTAATGTAATGTCTTCCGTTTTCTCAGTTAACGGTTGACTATATTAATCTTAATTTTACATATATAGTCAACGTTGAGTTGATGAATTTTTTTGCAATCACGATAGTTGGAGATTATTTATGTCGATTGCAAATAGTTGAGGAATAAAATATGCAATTCCCAACCCTTCTTCTGTATTAATTAGATTGATGGACTTGGTCTTATTCCAGGTTTTATGTTCTACTACACTCTATGAATTTATGATTACAAGAGGTCTTTATATACAAGTTCTACTATTCTATACAATGAATGAAAGTAATCATAGGGATTAATAGTAGGAAGTAAGTATAGGGGTAAACTATCTTGATTCATATGATTATCCTTAATATGTTCTTCTCAAATGCTAAAAAGATTAATCTTTCTATTAACGTTCAGATTAAATGTTAATTGAAACAATGACCAAAACTGAAAACAGAACCTAGAACGAAAGAAAGAGAAATTTCTTTACAACTCTCAAACTTCCACAAATCCCCAATGATCCTAGAATATATAATCTAGAATCCTCAACCCTTCTTCCTAAACTACCTTTAACTATAATTGTGATGGCGCCAACACAAGGCTTCTTAATTATACTTGTTTTGAGTAGATATCCTTGATGTTATTCTTGAAGAATATCCATATATATCTTTCGTTTGGAGCGACATGAGATATTATGGAGTATATATGTGTAATCTATTAGATCGATCGATGACTAGTGTTTTTGTACGTGACGGTGATGGATCTTTTACAATCCATATGGCTGTACAGAAAGGTCATATTGAAGTTGTCAAAGAGATTCTCAAACGATGTCCACATTCAAAACACCTGCTTAGTAAACATGGTCAAAACATTCTTCACATTGAAGCTAATTGGAAAATTTGAAATTCTATGTCATTTGATGACAAATATATGAATAAGCAAACCATCTTGCTAATGATGGGAATACACCCCCTCACCCCTGCATCTAGCCACCATAAAGTGGTGCCCTAAAAGCTGCTAGTTGCCTTACGGGGAAAGTTCATGTGCGTTTCGATCACGTTACTTATCAGGGAAACACGACACTGCATTGTCATGACCATCTAGTAGGACATATTCTTGACCATCA